GGCATTTGTGTAGAGCGGGGAGGGGGGAGGGGGGATTTGACCTTGGAACCGTTAGCCAGAATCTGTTTCGTTTTGCCAATTGGAGTGTGAAAACCAAAGTGAAATGAAAAACAAATTTTTGCGCAAAATTTTCATTTAGTTTTTGAAAATGTTTTCATTTTTAATTTTTAATGATACGTTTTCTTAATGTTGTTGTTGTTGTTGTTGTATTTGTTTTCTTTACCAATTATAGGCATATATACCAGGTGTGTGTGTGTGTGTGTGTGTGTGTGTGTGTGTGTGTGTATAATAATTTACATTTTCTCTCACTATTTAGTTGCTTACATCTCTCTTTGCAATATTTTGTTTTTTTTGTTTTTTTTTGTTTTTTTTTTTTTTAATAAATTATACAATTTAATTTAGTTTAATTTAGTTTAATTTAATTGAATTAATTGTATACTTTGCGTAACTTAATGATCTATAGTTAAATTGCTGCTACGGCCACGCCCACCAAAATGCGGGGCGCGATATGTATGTACAAATGTATTTTTTGCTTTCTTTCATTTACTCTCTCCCTCTCTCACGCTATCTCTCGCTCTCTCTCTCACGCGCTCTGCTTCTTCTTCTACGCTCGCTCTTCCACTTGATTTCTTTGCTAACTCTCACATGCTTTTTAATGCTTACGACTAAGGAGGGTGAGTGTATGTGTGTGTGTGTCTGTGTGTGTGTGTGTTAGGGGCGTGGTCTAGGCATAACTTAGGCTTTACAATTGAACTAATACGCGCGCGAGTTTTAGAAACATTTTTCATTAGATGAACGAACCAAAATGCCGAACATAAAATTATGTGACAATAAACTTTACAATTTATTGCTAATTTTAGCTTTAGTTAATTTTTTTTGTTTTTTTTTTTTGTATTGGTTTTTATTTCATTTAAATTTAGTTTAAAATTCAATTTTATACCTGTTTTTGTATCTAACTTTTCAAGCTAACTGTAACTCTCCACTCTCCACTTGCTCTCTCTCTCTCTCTCTCGCACTCTCTTGCTTGCGTTATGCAAAAGGAAAAAATCAAAACAAAAACAAAAAACTTCAAATTGGAACATAAAAAAAAAACGTATACAAAATACACGCACACAAATACATTTTTGTTATATTTGGCCCAATGTAATTTTAACTAAATTTCAACTTTTTTTTCAACTCTTTTTTTTGTTAAATATTTTTCACTTGTTTTTGTTGTATATATATATATATATATTTATGTGTATTTCTTTGAATGTGTTTTTGTTTTTGTTTTTGTTTTCAATTTCTGCTTTTAAATAGTTTCTCAAAGTCTTATACGTTTCTTTATAGGGCAAAAAAGCATTATATAAATTAAATGTAGAAATCAAAAAATTAGCATACAAAAAAATTCTTACTAGAAATTGTTGAGCGAGCTGAGCGACGGGCGCTAGTGGCGCCATCTAGCGGCAGCGACAATACACTATATGGCCCGTCTCTCACTTCGGCCTAATCTTCGGCTAAGCTAACTGTTAATATATTTTGTTTTTTTTTCTTCTCTTTTTTCTCATTCCACTTTTATAGGCATTTTCGCTTTAGAAGTGCGCATATAGCTAATGTACAGTACGTGTTTATATGTATATGTTTATATATATGTATATATATATATATATATATATATGTGTGTGTGTATATGTAATAGATTTACATAGTTACAATTTACAGTTAGGCGACAAACACACTCCCTTTTACTATAGTTATACGTGTGTGTATGTATATACGCTCTATATGCTATATATGCTATATATATAAATATATATAATTTACAGTTTCGACAATTTTACATACATCATTTGCTAGTTACGCTTTTTAACTATTGAATACAATTTGAATTTAGTTTTAGGCTTAAGTTTAATTGTTGCGCCCCACTGTGGCCGCCAGATGGCGCCGCAGCATTAGCTTCTGCTATTTAATTGTAATTCATTTAAATTGTGACTAACTACGCGCTAAAAAAAATTAGTTAAACTATGTATACAAGTTGCTGATGGCGCCATCTATGGGCGCAGACGCCACACGTCTGTCTAATTGCCGCACAGTGGGGCACAAACGTTCATAAATATATATATATATATTTTTTTTTTGTTTTTGTTGTAATAATTTAGTTTAGTTTAATTTAATTTAAATTAGTTTAGTTTAAATTTAGTTTATATATATATATATAGATTTTATATGTGTTTTCTGCTTACACTGTGTTATTTTGCTGCTGCTGCTTCTTCCCTCTCTTTCTATATGTATATTTGTATATATGTATATATGTATATGCACAAAAGTTTAACGGTAAACGAGAGACACACAACAAACAGAAATTGTTATTTGATATATGTATGAATATATGTAAATATATATATACTATATATATAAACAAATTTCGAATTAGCACTAGACACATTCTTGCATTTCTATTAGTGTGTGTGTGTGTGTGTGTGTGTGTGTGTAGGTTTTTGCTAGTAGTTGTTTTTGTTGTTTTTGATGTTTGCACTAAATTTCAACTAAATTAGAATTTAATTTGCATTTAAATCTAAATAACGACAACAGTCACGAAATGGCCGAGACACGTGTTCAGCTGTTCAATTGGACACTGTCTTTTTGCCTCGCGTCGTTGTTGTTGCTGTTGTTGTAACTGTTGTCGCTGCTGCTGCTGCTTCCAGTTGCTGTCGCTGCTGCGCTGCCGGCGAACTTCGCCGCGCTGTGGGCGAACTGTTGTTGGAGGCGGGCGAATTGGAGCTGGCGATGGGCGTGCTGTAGACAGCCAAACTGTTGCTGCTGCTGCCGCCCGTTGAGCAGGCGAAGGACGAGATGCTGTTGGTTGTGGACACAGCTGCTGCCGCCGCTGTCGAAGCAGCAGCATCGGCTGCCGTTGCGGCAGCTGCGTCGCCGTAGCACAGTTTCGACATGTTCTCAATGGCCTCGACCCACTGTATGGCATAGCCTTCGGGATCGTCCAGATAGTAGGTGCGATTCGGCTGCAAGAGAGCGAGAGCGAGAGAGAGAGTTACAGTTAGCAACTGGCTGACAAGTGTGTGCAAAAAAAAAACGGTGTGACCAAAGGCCGTTAAAAACTATTGTTTATTATCGACGTATTTTTTTTTGCTGTCGATTTTGCTTTTATTTTTTTTGCTGGTTTTTATCTACGTTGCGTGTGCACTTTTCAATGTCGCATATAATTGAGTTGTGTGTTGTTGCTGTTGTTGTCGGGTCGTAAACACGTGCCGTTGCTATAAACTGGGCCCAAACGAATTAGTGCGAGCGTATGCTTGGGGCAACTTTATGGCACACGATGACGTCATCAACTCAATTGGCTGGTTCAACAAACTGTCAACAGCTGCTGCAACAGCAACAACAACAACAACAACAGCAAACAAATTAAATAATTTAATGCCGCCAAATAAAATGTACAACAATCGTATAAGGTAACGCCTGAGAAACGAAATCCCTTTTCGAAATGCACTAAAAAATACCACAGCAAAAATACTAACAGCCTGCAACTTACCGTATGCACAAAGAAGATTTTAAAGTTCTTGATCTCGGCGCGCAGCTCGGGACTCCAGGGTATCTCGCCCTTCTTGATCATCTGCACGGGATCAATATAGATGAGGCGCGGCCCCGTCGTCAGCAGAAGCATACGCTTGCGGGCAAATAGACCCTTGCGCTTGTTAACAAATCCCCGCTTGAGGATCACCTCGCCGTCGGCGAACACGTGCCACTTGTCAGTCTTTTGTGCCTCCAGGCGCTGCTGCTTCTGTGCGTCGCTCAAGTCGAACGAATCTGGAGTGAGGATCAGAGGCGAGATTAGTCAGATCATAGCAGGGCAGGAGTAGGAGGGAGGAGGCACTTACTCTTTGCCACGGAGGGCTTGTGGGCGGGCGCCGCGGCGCTGCTGCCGACGCCCAGCTCGGCGCTGAGCAGACGCGTTATCTGGCGCTCGTCCAGACCCGGCTCCAGATCCACGCTAATCGGCAGACAGTAGCTGTTCGCACTGCACAGCGCATCGTCCTGGCTGACGCCGGGCAGGTAAGGATAGATGGGCGGCGGCGTCTGCTGGCGCAGCGTTTGCCAGTCGATGCCCGCAAAGAAGGGATGCGCCCGTATGCTCTCGTAGTAGCCGAATTCATCCTGGGCGCCCAGGCGTTCGCGCGGATCGACCTTGAGCAGCTGCCTGACCAGATCCTCGGCATCCTTGTCAAAGCCCTGCGGAAAGTCAACGGCACAGCCCAGTATCTCCTTGAAGATGAAGTAATCGTTGCTGCCCCTAAACGGCGGCAGGCCCGAGATCATCTGGTAGACAATGCAGCCCAACGCCCACAGATCGGCGGCGGGCGTAATGGGCGCATTCCGCAGCACCTCGGGCGACACGTACTGGGCGGTGCCCACGAAGCTGCCGCGTCGCGCGCGCATCCTTGGATTCCGGAAGTGGCGATGGCGCGGTGAACGGGCAGCATCTACGTCATCTCCCGCTGCTCGCGGCGCCTCCTCCTCCTCCTCGTTGGCGGCGGCATCGTCGTCGTCGTCGTTGTCGACGGCATAGTAGAAGCGTCTGTCCTCCTGCTCCTCCTCGTCCAGGTCATCGTACAGCTCTTCGCTGTCCTCGTCATCGTCATCGGAGCTGCGCGCCGAGCGTCGGCGTCGCTGCGCCGCAGCGTCCAGGCTGCCGCTGCTGGCCAGCTGGGCGGCCGCCTGGCTGCGTTCGTGTGGGGTCATGACCTTGGCGGAGCCAAAGTCGGCGATCAGCGTGTGCATGTCCTCGTCGAGCAGTATGTTCTCGGGCTTGAGGTCGCGATGCACCACATTGCGGCGATGCATGTGCTCGCAGGCGAGCAGCAGCTCGGCGGCGTAGTGGCGGGTGCAGGCGGCATCGAAGCTGCCGACGCGATTGATGTAGGGCAGGAGATCGCCCTTGCGGGCATAGGTCATGACGAAGTAGAGGGAGCGCTGGTCCTGGAACGTGCACGACAGATTCACAAAGCCCGGCACGCTGGTCATCATGTGCATCACTTCGCGCTCTCGCTTGATGTAATCCTGTTTGTGCTCTCGCAAGATTAGACGCTTCTCGCACACTTTGACTGCGGAGAGAGAGAGGGAGAGAGAGAGATAACGGATTAGTCAAATGTCGGCAAATCAAAAAACAGCTGAGCGAGCAATGTATGAAACAACTGTAAATTCCAATAGAGATTTTGCTGAATGATAGCAAAAGGAATGCACACACACACGCACACATACAGCATTAAATGAAGAGCTAACCGGCACAGGCGACACGATTGTCCAAAACAAACTGCTGCACTGTAGCGCACAATTTGCCAGCGACCCTTTGGTGACCATTACAATATGTGCACAGGCACACACATACATACATACACACATGCGTAGGTATGTATTGCAGCCCAGCTCAATTGCACAGGCGACAGCGTGGTCATAGGCTCAGAGCTGCGAGTCGAGCGCACAACTTGCTAGCATCACTTGTGTCGCCTGTGCCTCCTTGGGCTCGTCGCTTTTTGTGCTTTGATTTTAGTTCGTTTTATATGTGCACACACTAACACACTCACACACACAGTGAGTTTTTGTCGTTTTCTTGTTTCAATTTGGCATACATATTCCTCGTGTGATTTATTGAAATGAATGCAAGAGCGAGAGAGCAGCAGAGTGCGCGAACAACGGACAAAAAGGGAATCGCGGCAAGACAGTAAAAAAAAAAAACAACTGAAAAAAAAAAGGAATTTGCTCAAATTGCTAAATTAACAGGCGACAACGGCGACGGCAGCGACGGCGGCGACGGCGACGTTGCCAGCGGCAGCAGTAACGAAAGCGAGCGCGCTTTGGGAACTTGTTTCCAGTTCCCCCCGCGGACGCGCTTCTATACTTTGTTTGCTTAGCTGCTGCTCCCTAAGAAATTCTAAACTGGTTGTTGAACTGCAAAACCGCACACACACACACACACACACACACACACACACACACGCGCGAAGAGAATTAAGCTTGGCTGCGGAATCTGTTGGCATTGAAACATTTATTGAGCAAAATGTGAGACGCTTTTAAGCTTTGACCCCCGCGACAACCCTACGCACTAGCAGGACAGAGAGAGAGGGAGAGAGAGAGAGAGTGAGGTTAACGGCTCTATTCCCACTATGAATTATGACCGCTTATCAGCAGTTGCCCGGTTCGCTTTACAGTTTTGTCCTCATCAAGTGTCGATGCGCTTTACATACTCTACATACAAAATGTATGTATATGTATGTGTGTGTATGTATGTACATATGTATGCAAGATAGAACGTGGGAAACTTGAAAATATTCGTGCAGAAAAACTCTCGAGACGCAAAGACAACAAACAAAACGCGAAGAAAATAAAATGAAAATAAAAAACAAAAACAAAATCAAAAAAAAAAAGTGAGTGAGAAAACAGTTTTCGACACAAACAAAACTTAAAACGCAAATTTGTTGATTTGCGAAAAAGCGAATAAACAACGTTGATATAATAAATTACGCTAACTATGTGTGTGAGTGTGTGTGCGAGTGTGTGCGTGTGTGTGTATAGGCAATAGAAAATACAAATATTAATTTGCTTTTGTTTTTATTTTGCCGTTTTATCAAGATCGCAACTGAGTTTTTTTTTTAGTCTAGAAAACAAATCAGGGGCCAGATAAGCTGTCGAGTGGCAGCTAAATACACACACACATGCACACGCACACACACATGCACACGCACTCTCGAACGGCGAAAGAGGAAAAACAAAACAGCCGCAATTAAAAGATTAACACAAATAAAACAACAAAGTGCGCGATTTTTTTTATGCGTTTTAAATTTCCCAAGCCAAAAAAAGAACAACAACAAAAGTGCGTAAAAATAAAATTGACCTTGAAATCCGTTACCGTTGCCTTTTTTCTTTCATTTTTTTCTGTGATTCTGATTGGAATTGAATTGTGAAAACGAAGCGCGCGTTTTTTTTTGTGTTTCATTCTATTTTCTTTTATTGTTGGCTTTAATTATTTATTTTAATTTTTTTTGCGCGCCGTTTGTTGAGCTGCGGTTTTAAAAAAGTGTATTTTTTTTTCTTTTTTTTTTATGGGTTTAATGCCCTGATAAGGCGACGAAAGCGCAGCCTTGAACTAGGTGGCGGCAGCGCAAGTGCAAAGAAAAAAAAACAAAAAACAACAGTGAAACATAAAAAATAAGTTAAAGAAACACACATAGGTAAATAGCAGCTGGCAAAAGTACAGAATAGGAAAAGGCAAACAAACACACGAGAAAAAGGTAAGACACAGCATTAAATTAATATTGCCCAAGTTTTGTCCCACTGATCAGCAGCGAGAGAGGGGGAGAGAGGGGGGAGAGGGAGTTAAATTTCAAAAATGCAGCGCACACACACACACACACATACAAGCGCGTGCATTGCAACTTGTTGCGTCTCGATTGGAATGCAGTACAACGAGTTTGACAGAGAGCGAGAGAGGCAATAGCAGTGACTGCAGTGGGAGACATAAATTGCAATTGTAACCAGTTGTTGTTGTTGTTGGGAGACAACAACTGAGTCAAACGATTCTATAAATAAGACAGAAGACGACGCAACTGCAACTTATTGCTGGAGGACAATGACCAAAAAAGAGCAAAATAGAAAACTGTACACAACGCAGCAGCAAATGCTGCTGGATGGCATTCCAGACGCAGCAGCAGATGCACACAGCGAGCGAGAGAGAGAGCGATAGAGGGAGAGCGAGCGCCAAAGCCAAAAGTCATAGTTAGTTAATTGGGTGCAAGGCCGTTTGGGTATGTTTTGGAATTGGAACACGTTAAACAGGAAGTCAAAATAGAGGTGTTTGAACCGCAATACAAAGACAACGCAAGATCGAGAGAGTCAGAAAAGGAACTTTGATTCCAACTCATGTGTGTGTTAAATATATATATATATATATATTATTTTTTTTTTTGGCAATTTTTGTTGTAGTGGAAAATGTTGTTTCGCATAAGTGATTGGAAATGTTTCCTTTAAAGGGGGGCGGGGGTTTGCAATAAACCTGATTACTTGCGTCTGATAAACGCGGCTGTCCAAAAAAGAAAAAAAGAAAGAAAAGTAACTCCAAAAAACGACCCACGCGACTTTTAATGCTCTTTTCGGTTAATTTATTGTCACGGCGGCACGACACACGCGAATTGACATAAAATTGACAAAAATTGCGATAAAAGTCGATTGTGAATTCGCCGCGGCGAGTAGCAGGCACCACAAATTGCAAGCTGTCTCTCTGTGTGTGTGTGTGTGTGTGTGTGTGTTTGTGTGTGCCATTTCGCATTGTTTCGCATTTCAATTTCATTAATTAGCGACTGCCGCCCAAAATTGGCAAAGAACATTGGCGGCGGCGACGTTCCCCCCTGCCAACCCCGCCAACCCCACCCACCATTCGCCGCGTACCCTTTGCATGATGCTTGCTCATCATGACGTAACTTGACGTTTCGCTTGAAACTCATTTAAATATGTCGCGCATAACCAAACAGCTTATGACAGGGCCGAAGAAGAAGAAGAAGAAGAGTGGCTCACAGGTAAACGCAGCGCACAGAAGCGAGCGTTTAGTGGAAGTCGCAGGCAAGTGGAATGGGAATATGGAAAAATGGAACGGCAAGGAGCGCGCCTCTCATTGTTGTTGTTGTTGTTGTTGCCAGCTGAGTCATATAACAATTTTGAGTGCGCCTCCTTTTTTTTTTTTGGTTTTACTGTTATTGTTGCTGGGTGCCTGCCGCGTGGCAGGTTTAGCAAAAGTTTATTGCCCTTTGAGGAGGGTGGGGGGTGGGGGTGTTGCGAAGCGAGCGACAAGTTGACGGCACGCAAAGGACCTCTATTTTTTTTTGAATATGGTTGTTAAACAAACGACAATTTGCACAACAAGTGAGCAGCAGCAGAAGATAACGGCACTCGCTTCCTCTCTCACTCTCTACATATGTATATGTGTGTGTGTGTGTGTGTGGCGCAATAATAAAAACAAGGCCAAGGCAGGCTGTGGCCGACTTCCTGGCGCGACTTAATTCGCTCGTAAAAGCTGAACGGCTGGCGGCAGGGGAGGGGGGGGGGGTGCGGGCTGTGGGTGGCGGTGGACCTTGCCACGTGCCACACCCCCTCCCTGGCCTACCTGATATATGGCAGCTGCAGCGCACATCAAAAAAAATTGTACAAGCGCAGGTGCAAACAGAAGAAGAAGAAGCAGCAAACATTGTTATGAATCAGGCGAAAAGGATATTCGAAAAGGATCCGCCGCCGCCGAGTTGAATGACCCAAATATTTGTCAATATTATGTTACAAGCCAGAGCGAAAGAGAGAGAGCGAGAGAGCGAGCAGAGGTTAAATACCCTTAGACAGCTGCGACTGCGCGCAGCAATGGCGACGGCGACGGCGGCGCAGCAGCTGCTGTAATTAAAAATAACACACGAGCACAAGAAAAAGGAGCAGCAGCAACAACAACGACAACAACAACAAAACGGTAAACGAAGAGAAGAAGCGAAGGAAGAAGAGACGACGCGAACAGAGCAAAATGTCTGCTAATGTTTTTAATCATTTTGCAAGTTCAGTGGCCAAAAATTGGCAGTGTGGGAAAAAAAAAACGCGTAGCATGTTCCAGAGTTCCAGCGTGGAATATGGGAACAGTTGAGAGAGAACAGTTCAACGGCCGATCGTCGAGTGTACCAATGCCAGTGCGTTCCAGCAACAAGTTGCATTTCGATGCGTGGGCGCAGCAGCAGCAGCAGCAGCAAAGTAAACTACTTAAAACGTGTGAAAGAAATACAAATAAAGTGGAACAGCTGCAGCTGCGCGCAGGATCAGCAGAGCACGTGTTCAGGTAGGAGAACTGCTACACAGCTGCGCTCAAATACAACAATAAAACTAACGCACACGCACACACATACATACATAGAAGCCTTTTGCGTGGAATGATGAAATAGTCCAACAGACAATGTGAAAATGCGTAAAAAGAATTTGCGTAGCGCGTCAAACAGACGCCGCACAGCAACAACAATTCGCACACATACAAATGTGTGTGTGTGCTCTCTCTCCTCCGCTCACCTCAGGCATGTGACACAAAATGAAAACGAAAACGAATTTTGCTACGTTCATCGTGAATGGACTTGTGGGAGTTGTGAGTGCGCCGCGAGAGCCCGAGAGAGTGGGCGTTACAGTTGGCAACATGTTGGCAGACAAGTCCATAAAAATGTTGCCGTCTCTGCTCGGCTCTGCTCTGTTTATAAGCAAATTAAAAGCAACAACATACATAAATGATACGAGTTGAATTCGGTTTGCGCTCGTTTTTAGCGGGCGGGCCCGGGCCCGGGCCCATTGGAAAATGTATGCCAATAAAACACAATAACAATAAAAAGACTGGCGGCTGCTCTCGGCAAAAAAAAATAAAACAACATCTGTTGACCTTCAAAAAGTGAGTGCAATAAACAAATGTCAATGTTTTCCTTCTTTTTTTTTTACATTTGTAACACAGCAACAAAATGCAAAGTCGAAAGTGCAGTTGCTGTAATTAAATGTTAATTTACAGAGTGTGTACGAGAGAGAGAGAGAGAGAGATAAAGAGTGGAAGCTGCTGTTGCTTATGTTCTTGCGCGTCTATTTTTAAACACAACTTAAGCTTCAGACGACAGACAGCAGCAAAACAACGGTTACAACACAGTTGCACACACACACACATGCACACATGCACTCTCGCTTCACTCTCCCGCTCACGCAAAGTTAAAGAGCAAAACAACAGTTGCTCGTCTCCCCTCCCCACCCCTCTGTCCATGCAATACTTAAGCTGTCTGTTAACAGCGCGCACTGTTGTTGTTTACATGCACCTGATGCTGCCCTCTGCTGTTGCTGCTGCCGCTGTTGTTGCTGCTGTTGTTGTTGCTGTTGCTGTTGTTGTTGCACCCGTTATATTTGTGCTTTTGCGAGTTGTGCTTTATCAGAAGAAAAAAAGTCAAAAGCTTATTGCAGACACGCGCCGTTTGCCTTGCGTTGCGCTTTTCGCGCTTATTATTGTTTTTGTTATTTAGCATTAAATGCAAAGAAGAAGATAAATAAAATGCACACAATGCAATTTGCAGCTGCGTTTGCGTTCGCTGCAGGCAGCGCGACACGTGCCAAAGCCGCGACTTTGCAAGTTTATTGATTTATCATTGTTGCTGTTGCAGGCGAAAATCTCAAAGCAAATTGGCTTAGCACAAATAAACAACAACTGACAGTGAGCTGCACACACACAGACGCACACATACACACATACACGCTTGCGTACAGTTAAACAGTTATTTGTTATTTGCATTGCATGGAAACGTGGAAAGTGAAACAGAGGGAGGCGTTCTTTCCCTCACACCCACTCTCTCTCTCTCTCTCTCTCTCTCTCTCTCTCTCTCTCTCTCTCTCTCGCTCACACTGCTGACGCTTATCGCCTTTTGTCGTGCGCTGCTCAGCAGCTGATCTTGAACGATGTCAGCTTTTCGCCCGCTGCAGCCTTTTTGTTTCAATCGATAAACAAACAAACAACAACAACAATGCGAAAAATAAACTGTCGTCAATTGCGTGAGGGCGTCAGCGTCGGCGTCGGCGTCGCGTTATCATAGCAGAGGAGACGGCAACGCAGACGGCGACGGCGACGTCGACGTCGCTGTTCTTGATGTGTTGATTATCAAAAGACGTCAAAGCCAGCACAAAGTATACGAGTGTGTGTGTGTGTGTGTGTTGCCCCTATTCATAGCCTTTGCGAGATAAAAATGCCATTAGCTTAAGTTTTCAACTAGCTGATGAAATTTCCAATATATATGTATATGCATGAATATTTACAGTGTGGCTGTACATCACAACAAAAAGCGTGCTTAAAAGCAAAGAGAGAGAGAGAGGGAAAGGGAGAGGGAGATAGTCACGTGATTGGCGAGTGACCCAGCAACAAATGAGAAGAATATCAGGAACATATGTTGCTTTAGCAACACGTCACAACTCTCGCTGTCTCCCTCCCTCTGCCCCTCTCTCGCCATACGTCGTCTGTTATCTATTGCTTTTGTTTCGGGCTTAGACAATTTTGTCGCCTGTCACACGGTGTTTTGCATCTGGCAGCCAGCCGACAAACTTGAACAAAACGTTTTCTCAAATCAGCAACAGCTGGTTTCAGTTTCAGCCGCATGCGTCTGTCTGTCTGTCTGTATGTGTGTGCGTGTGTGTGTGTGTGTGGGTGTGTGTGTTTTGATTTGTTGGCAGCCGCCACAACAGCAGGTGACTGTCAGGCGCGTTGGCGTTGGCGCCGCCATCGCCGCTGTCTGCAATTGCGACCGCATTTCGCGCTAGTTGCCCGGCGCCAAGCAGCCCCACAAATGCTGACGTTGAGGGGGTGGTGGGTGTTTAGGTGTTGGTATATGTATCCATAGACTAGCAGGTATTATCCGGTTTTGCTCGGGTCACACATACTAATTACCCATACTATCGGTCAATCAATCAATCAGTCAGTTAATTATGCAAGTAACTCAATTAGTATGGCATTCAATCAATCAGTCAATCAATTATTCTGTTGATTAATCAATCAGTCAAGTCAATCAAATTATGAACACATTTAATCAGTCAGTCAATCAATCGGTCAGTCAAGTGTTACTCAAGCAATATGGCATTCAGTTCAATCAATCATTCAATCAAGATGTATTCACTTTGGTACGGTACTCACTTGCATACTCGCGCCGCGAGTGTATGTCCACCGCAAGGTATACCATGCTGAAGCTACCCTCGCCAATATAACGGCCAAAGATGAAATCGTTTGGTGATCGGCGGGGTGGCTGCGCTGCTTGTAGCTGTTGTGCGGCTGGAGGGGGCGGCGGTGGCATTTGTTGTTGTTCTTGCTGCTGTTGTTGCTGCTGCTGCTGCTGCTGCAGCTGTTGTTGTTGTTGCTGTTGCTGCTGCTGTTGTAGCTGGCGTTGATACGACAGCGACTCACGACAACACATTTTGATGCGCTGCGGCGTGGAGACGACTGATGAACTGTTGCTGGCCACCGCTGCTGCCAGAGGCGATGTGTAGCCTATGAGAGAGAGAGAGAGAGAGAGCGGGAGGAAGAGAGAATGCGTGCGTGAGCTTGGCAACTTGTTGCTAAACGGTTTTGTTGCTTACCGTTTGTCAGAAACATGTTGCTGCGACTGTAGCGACTGCTACTGTTGTTGTTGTTATTGTTGTTGTTCTCTGTGTTTGTTACCGACGTGGGTGTCGCTGTTGCTGCCGATGCAGCGCCACAGCCGCACGTGTGTTGCTGTTGCTGCTGCTGCTGTTGCAGTCGCGTCGCTGTCGTGGCCATTGCGCCAACAACAACCGCCAGCTCCTTGAGCTTTAGAGCCGAGAAATTTGATTCGCTTAGGGAAACGGCAGTTGTGGCTTTTTCTTTTGGCATCGCCGGCATTGTTGCCGTTGTGTTTAGTTGTTGTTGCTGCTGTTGCTGCTGTTCGATGCTGCTGTTGGTAACGCTGCTGCTGCTGCAGCTGCTGCTGCTGCTGCTCGAGGCAGAGACGACAACGGCGGCGGCGGCTGCGATGCTGGCGGCGCTGCTTGGCGATTGAAGCTGCTGTGTGCCGTTAATCTGCAGAAGAGAGGAACAGCGAGAGAGAGAGAGATCGTTTAATAAAAGTCGTGAGAGCGTAAAAATCAATCAATGCGTGGCCTATGTGTGTGTGTGTGTGTGTGTGTGTGCGTGTTAATTTGAAAACGCAATAAATTAAAGCGCGCAGTCGCGACCAGCCTAAAACAGACACAAAAACAAAACAACAAAAAAAAAAAAAGGCAGCGACAAAGCGGAACTTGCGGAGAGCCACAAGAACAGGTCCCACACACACACATACACACACACACAGACATACAAGGCGCAGCGGCCAGAGCGAGACAGGCAGCTTTTTATATTTATTTATTTTGTTAGGCCTACGCTTTATGCTGTTTGTACTTGGCGTGCGGCTGACGTCAAGTTCAAGCTAGTGCCGTCTCGCTCGCACGCACTAGTCTGGCCCATTGTTATTGTTGTTGTTCCGGGTTCAAGGACTTAGCATAAAAATATAATAAAGTTCATTGCCACCTGTTTACACATTTCTATTAACTTATGGGAATTGTGAAATTGTTGTTGCTGGTCAAGAAAACGCTTGTGGCGTGATCTGTATTTAGGCTGTCGGGAGGTGGGAGGGGGGGGGGGGGGGGGGGCGTTGTTACTTGGCCCAGACGACGCGTTGTCTGTGACGGGTTTTTTTTTGTTTCAACAAATCGTAAAAACGCAAAATTATCAAATTATGCAAAACGCATGCAAAACAAAGACAAAAAAAAAAGCAAATAAAACCAACAAAAAAAAAAAAGAAGCAAATTTATATAAAAACAAGGTGAGCAAATGCGTCAATGAAAGTCAAAGACGGCAGCTAATTTAAGTCAAAAAGCACAATGGAAAAATGGAACCAGGCTTCAAGCGCACACACACACACACACACACACACAAACAAAAGAATTTCTGATGTTATTTATAGGGTATTGTAATTGCGTTAAGAAGAAATCAACCTAAAACGTCATGGAAAATATATCCATATATAGCTAGGCACAGTGAAAGCGCTTTTTTTTTCAATATTTGATGGAAACTTTTTTCAAATAAACTCAAGGAACTTGGATATTATTGAAGCCAGAAAGCTTTCAATTACGATTGATGATAAACAATTCGAAAAAAAACCGAAGAAATTGCAGTCTCACAGCAAATTACAGGGTATCTACACGACAATATTCAAAGAAACTTAAGGAACTCTGGGATCATTAATGAGGGCAAGATTGTTCGAGAAAAGCGCAATTTCACAGCAAATTACAGGGTATCCAAACACAAAACTGAACTAAAACCCAAGAAACTCGGAGATTATTGAAGCTAGAAAGTTTAAACTTTTGCAGAAATATGTTTTTTTCCCAAATTAATGACAACAATTTAAAAAACCTCTCAAAAACTGCAATTGCAAATTACAGGGTATCTAGATGACGTCATATAGGCAGGCAGGCACGCCCTATCTATGGCGAATGACACTTAAAACAATTAATTTTGCATTTTCGAACTGGCCGCAATCTACTTTTATATGATTTGGTTTTAATATCTTGTATTTGACTTTTGGTTTAGATCTTTTCATCTGCTTCTGCTTCTTCTTTTTTTTTCTCATCTTGGCCAGTTTTTGGGCCTCTCATCTGCGTCACAGATCGAAAACTGGTCAAAACAAACAAAAAAAAACACCATAAAAATCGAACATACAAAATAATTAAAATAAACTAGCTAGGTAACGGGACAACAACAACAACAACAACAACAACAACAACAACAACAGGAAACACGAGGCAACAAAATGCGAAAACTTTGGAACACCTTCTGATTATACACATACATATATATAGATTTATATGCAAACTCAGTTTTGTAGAGCACATAATATATATGTGTATATAGTTCTGATTGAAACATGTCACTTGTGCATGGCATCATACACTGAGAGAAAAGTAGCTACACATTCATGCGAAATGTGTGAAAAGCGAATTGTTTTGTTCGCATTTGCTGAGAACATTTTCAATTTGCTTTTAAACAACATTTTCCATATATTTTTGCATTTTTTTTAAATTATTTTTTATAATTAATTCTTGGCCCACTTTTTCTGCGAGTGCATGAAATCACAAATATGTGGAAAATTTTCAAAGCAACAAAATATCTGGAACGCGCCCCCTCATTTGTGTGCGTGGGCGTGTTGCTTAGCGCACAAAACATATGACCGAAACGCTGGGCATGCTACACGCACACATACCCTACATACACACACACACACACACACATATCTATACTAGATGTTTGTATATTTAGATCTATTCTATGGCGATCTGATCTGACGACGTTGGCGGCGTCTAGACAAAAATGACATTTAAATGAATCTATTTTATTGTCGCTTCGTCGCCGTTTCAGCATAGAACCCCCCACCCCCCCCCCACCCCCTCCCCACCCTCCCCCTATCCCCTCTACCCCCTGCCAACAACCTCTTAGTCTTCAATTGAGTTTTATAAATAAAAATTTCTGTCTAGCGCGCGAATTGCAATCAATTGAAAGAAAGAAAAAACTGCAAGCGGCAGGAAGGGGGACAGGTAGGGGAGGGGGTGGAGGGGAAGGTCTGGGGGTATTACAAGGTGTCTGTGCTAAATATACATAGAAACAGGCAAACACTCGTAAAAAAAAAGTGTTTATTTAAACATAAACACGAAAAAAAAATATTTTAAAAAAATATAGAAAAAATATTTTTCTTACTGCAGCAGTAGGCAACAGTAGAGCTTGCAGTAAAGGGAGCGGTCTAACTGGCGAGTAATCTGAAGCAGCAGTAACTTTACTGCACAGTAAGTTTTCAGCAGTAAAATTTCTGACTGCAGCAGTAAATTCACTGCAAAATACCTGCTGCAGGCCTTTGCTTTACTAGACTCTAAGCAGTAAGTCCCTTTCGCGCAGCAGTAATTTTACTGTGCTGCACAGTAAGTTGTCAGCAGTACGGTTTCTGACTGCAGCAGTAAGTACACTGCACAAGAGCTTTAAGAAGCATTTGATCTTCTAGACGCCCTTTCATTCAGCAGTAACTTTACTGCGTTGCACAGTAAGTTACCAGCAGTAATATTTCTGACTGCAGCAGTAAGTACACTGCACAATACCTTCCCGATGCAGCAGCTGCTCTGGCAGACTTCCTTTCGTTCAGCAGTAACTTTACTGCGCTGCACAGTAACGCATCTAGACGTAGCAGTAATTTTACTAGAGCTCACAGTATGCCTAGACTGGGCAGTAACTCTTCTTCTAGCTGCAGCAGTATGTTTTACTGCAGCAGTAACTTCCAATCAGACCGCGCAGTAACTTTACTGCAGCAGCAGTAGGTTACTGCGCTCAGCCAAAGGACAACTGCAGCAGTAGGAGAAATCATTTATATTATAAGATTCAAATAAACACGCCCCCCCCCCCTCACACACCCTCCCTGCCTTACCTACGCTTTTTGTGGGCGTGAATGAAAATTGAAAGGAAAATTAAATACGTGGAAATTATAGCACGGAAAAAATCGCAAAAAAAAAAAAACGAAATGCGTCTATTTATAGCGTAGCGGGCAATAATAATACGAGTATATCGGAATTATTTTATTTTATTATAATCTTTTTGTTGTTTTTTGTTTTTTTTTTTCTGGCGACATGTTTTGCATAATTTTGAGCTATTTTGCTGAGATCAAGTGGGGTAGGTTTCTCTATAGAGAGAGGTGCGTGTTGGGGTTTTTCGATTGGGTAAAACCCGATCAGTTATTTTTTATTTGATTAGAATTAACGATTCAACATTTACGATACCTGCATTGGGAATTGAAATGAATTTTTGCAAGCGGCTTCTTTTCGACGATTCGCAGGAAACGGCGTGTAAGGGCTGAACAGAAGAAACACATTAACAAAACAGCAAAGAAGAGTAAAGAAAGAGAGAAAAAAAAATAAAGAAGGAACAAAAATTCGACAAGTTGAACGTTAGGATTTGGATTTATGAAACGGACAATCTGAACGGTAAACGCAAAGCCTGCTGCGCGGACGGGACAAAGGCAAAAGGCAAATGGCAAATAACGCAAAGCTAACTGTTTTTATTGTCGTTCTGCTTCTTCCATTTGAGCGGAAGTTGTAAAAATGCGCTTATGAATGAAAATGCACGCAGTGCAAAAACAAACACAAACAACAGAAAAAAAACAAACACATGCAAATGCAAACTGCAAATTCCAATTGGAACAAGCTCGCCCGCTCGCTCGCACACACACAAAACATTCCGCTACATAATACACACACACACAGGCACGCACAGAAAGAGAGACGCACGCTCTCCCACTCTCTGGCTCTATCTCTGTTTGGCTTACGTCGTTTACATTGGAGCGCGCTCTGTTTGTGTATTTTATGTTGTAATTGCGTTTTACGGTACAAATTCCAATGGGCCACGCACTGAGAGTCTGCCACACAAGAAGAAGCAGATGCGCGCGCGTTTATTTCTTTATCTGTGTGTGTGTCTCTGTGTGTGTGTGTATTTAATATTTATTTGGCTTGTGAAATTTGCTTACACAAAATTTTTGCACTTATAAATTTTCATAGAATGCGCGGATTATCAGGAATTCACATTTATTTATTTTTATTTTTATAATTTCTTGTTTTTTTTTTCGTATATTTGCAAGATCAAAAATTTCCATGAATAAAAAAAAAACAACAACAACGAATGGGAACAGGAACACGAACCAAAAAAATGATGACGACGTTTGTTGCTGCTGCTGTTGTTGTTGTTGTTGTTGTAGTGCGTGTGTATTTAGGAACTTCTTGTTCGTTTTTGCTATTTAACGGAATTTCGAACGGAACGAAGACGCAACGAAAACGAAACCACAAACACAACAATTTATGCAATGAGAACGCGAAGTTCTGCTGTTGTTGCTTCCTCTTATTTATCTATTTACTTTTTCTTTTTTTTTTAAATTTTATTTGTAATGTAATTTGTTTGGCCTTTTGCGGTGTATTATTTAATCGCACTAAGGAGAGCGCGCACACACACACAAACACATGTATATGTATATATATGTGTGTGTAGACAGGCTTGGGGCGTTTCGCAAGTGTGTGCGTGTGTGTGTGTGTGTTTGAGCGAAACGCGTGCACAATCGAAACGACGACACGTCCGGTTTCAAAGCGCCACAAAAACTAATCAGAAGCGAAAAACAGAAAATGATGTGAGCCCCAACAAGCAGCAGTCGCAGTCTCAGTCTCAGTCGCAGCCGCAGCAGCAGCAGCACGAGAGCACGAGAGAGCCGAACGGCAATGAGAGCGAGCCGATGTTATATGTTCATAATGGGGCCAAAGCAGCGCAGCCGCCGCTCAATGAGATTTGTTGTTGTTTCGGCGCTGGCGCCTTCAATTTTATTTGTTGTTTTTGTTTTTTCTTTTACAAGGCGAACAACTTGTGCACCAGGTCGTGAGAGCGCACAGATTGAGAGCGGGCCAGACAGAGAGAGAGAGAGAGAGAGAGAGAGTGAGCGCCTGGTAATTGTACGTTTAATGCTTTATGATTGTTGTTGTATGTACATAATATTGGTCTAGGTTTTCCATACACACGAATGCCATCCACACAACATACCCCCCCCCCCCCCCCTCTCCCATTGTGCTAGCATTCTATCAATCCACAAGGGAGAGCGCGAGTGTGCGTTTTGTTTTCGTTGCTCTTTTCTTCATTTTGTTTTTGTTTCAAGAGGCACCCGCATTCCTAACTGTAAACAAGCAAGAAGAAGAATGCACGCTCTGGCCGCTGCCTGGAAAAACTCGTTTTTCCCGCTGGAAAAATGTGCGGCACACAACATACAAAAAAACAAACAGAAAAAGAATTTCAAGAATTTGTAGCCCACAAGAGAGCGCGTAAAGCGACGACGACGACGACGAGATGTAAAAATAAACAACAAAAGTCGGGTGGAAAAACACGAAGCATACACACACACACACACACGCACACATGCGAGCATACACAATACGTGTAGGAGAGACAAGGACAAGGAAGCGGCGAACAAAACAAAATGTATGCGTGTGTGTGTGTGTGTGAAACGAAAACGAAGGCAAAAGACAAGACACAAACAAGAGACAATAATAACACTAACACTAACAACAACAACAACAACAACGGGGCCTGAGAAAAAGCCTGTAGTAAACAAAATAAATGGCGGGCGCGGCTGCGACAGCAACAGCGACGCCGACGGCAACGTCAACGTCAATGTAAATAAATATTATAAAATATGCAATTGTGTGTGTGTGTGTATCTCGCTCTGTGTGAGACATGCACAAGTGAAAGGCGCAAAAGGAAACAAAGTCTGTCTGTGTGTGTGTGTGTGTGTGTGTGTGGAAGAGAGAGGGAAGCTGCGAGCGGGGCTGAGGCCGATTACAGTGAAAATGAAATAAATAAATAAATTGATTTATTATTTAGTTGTTGTATTTTTTTTTTCACTCTTCCCATTGTTGCTTTTTCTTGTTTTTTTTTTTTGCCCCCTTTTTGCTTATTTTAATTGTCAATAAAAAGCGAAGAGAGAAAAACAAAAAAACAGCTGCCAGAAAAACAATTTAATTGCAATTTGTTGTTTTGTTTAACGATTGCTAAAAAAAAAAATAATAATAATAAAAAAAATAAATATTTGTTTTTTTCCCTTATATAAAGCAAAATAATTCAACTATTTGGCTTCAAATGTTGTTTTTCTTTTTTAATTAGTTTTAATTATTGTTGAATAATTTTTTTTTTAAATTTTTTTTTTTTTTGTTGAGAAATTCTTTGTTAAATTAAATTTGCCAAATTTTAAGCAAAAATGCTTGAGGCCCAATTGTTTGTAGTTTAGTTTATAAATTTATTAACGCATTTTCCTTAAATATACATTTTGAGCATATTTTCAAGTTAAAAGTTTTTCCAAATTTTCAGAGATTAATATATTTTTTTTTATTATATTGCTTGCTTTTCGTAAGTTTTTCAATAATAATTATTTACATAATTTTACTATAATATTTCTACAAAATTGTATAAACATAAAAATGTTGAATTTTTCAAAAATGTTTTTAATTTTTTTCTGCCCAAATTTCGAACTTTCTTTTTTTTTTAATTTTTTTTTTTTTTTTTTTTTGAGTTTTTACTTAATTTAATAAGAAATTAAACAATTCTTGAAACACATTTAAACAAAGTTTTAAAAAATACACAAATTTTTGATTTACAATTTATTAATTTTTTTTTTTAATTTTTTTTTCTTAAAAACTAACATTTACCTTTATGGACTTTAATCTTCGCACAACAAAATTGTTGATTTTATTGGACCAGCTTTTGCATTTCATGAGTAGGCCGTTGCGGGGGGGTGCGGTGGCTGTTGGGTAGGAGCTGCGATCCTGAACCAAGCACACACACACGCACACACAGATGCGTTTGTTAAGAATCAAACGAAATTTGAATGCGTTACAATGTAATGGGTTTTGTAACGTGTTGGACGAACTGGTCACACTTTTCTTGCAATTGAGTTTTTTTTTTTTTGCTTTTGCTTGAAATAGTTGCGTTATGCTTTGGGCTTTAACAGTTATTTTTGGTGTTCGCCATTTCTTGTGTTTAGATTATGCTTCACTTGACCATATTACGGTTTACAGTTAACAGTTAATGCTGGACACACGCGAAAAACACAAAGTGTACACTACAAAAATTGTTTTTGTTGTTGTTTATTTTGATATAGTTCCCTTTTGCTAGGCTTCCTTTAAACAGTTTGGCGCGCGCGTTGATTTATACCACAAAAGGAGAGTAAATCACAAAACAAAACGAGAAAAACAGAAAGACGACGGCCGACTGGCGATTTATTTGAAAATTGTGCTGTTCGCGATGCGCGCTTCCAACCAAACGGTAAAAAGTTTCAAATGGAACTGAAAGTGCTGGAACAAGAGGCTAGCGAGTAAGCCACAAAAACACACAGCACAACTGTAAACAACATGGTATGTGGAACACGGCACTGCTAAAGAGAGAGAGAGCGCTGCAATAGCAATGAGCGTGTTTCAATTCCAATTGTGCTTGCCAAACGGGATGTCTGTCTGTCTGTCTTTGTGTGTGTGTGTGTGTGTGTGTGGACTGTGGGCCAGTGCTCAATTGCAATGCATTGAGTCCAGTTCCTTGCAGTTGCACACACACACACATACCAATGTATGTTCCAACAGCGACGCCGGCGCCAAAGCAGCGCATGCACCGTTAGAAGCATTGATCGCAAAGAGCATTAAGAGGGCGCCAGCAGAGTCTTATAAGCTTATAAGTCCCTCTCTCTCCATTACAACCCATCCCTCCCACCCTCGTGCTCTGATTTGCGTACGAAGAATCAATCAAAGCGTACCGTTATTTTGCTTTGCATTTCGTTTAACAGTTGCTGCATTATTTATGACAAAATGACGCACTTGTTTTTTGTGTCGTCTGCACGGAAAAGCCATGACTCAGATGAAATGTCTCTCGAGCTTTCGATGCTGCGCTCATTTTGTTGTTGTTGTTGTTGTTGTTTTTTCGTGCATATTTGTATGTTGTTTGCTTCCCCCAATTAAAGACACGATTGGAATTTGAACTATTTGCCGCTGATCGGGTTGATCGCTCTTTGCGGTTCATTTCGTTGCAATGCATTCCACACACATACGCTCCACAGTTCACTCGTTCGCTGTGAAGAGAGCGCTTGCTGTTTCGTTGCCAGTTCGTTCCTTGTTTTGGTTTCCATTTCAATGTGTGTGTGTGTGTGCAAAGCGCGCGCATTTTTCGTGGCTGTGTGTAGAAATTCACTTGTCTAGCTGCTGCTGCCGCTGCTGCTGCTGCTGCTGCTGTCGCTGCGCTGCTCTCGTTTACGTTTTTACTATAAAACGAACGGAAGTCGAACACGCTGGCGAGCGAGAGCGCATGCATGCGAGTGCGAGCGGGACGCAGCGAAAACAAAACATTAAATTTAAGGGGAAGCTACGTTTAAGGCCAGCAGCCGCTGCAGGCTGCACTGCCAGCTGCGCTGTTCGCTGTCCGCTGCTCGCGTCGCAGCCGTCGTCGGCGTCGGCGTCGTTTCGTCACAACACAGCACTTTTCAGGCGCTTTGTTGTCGTTCTTCTTCTTCGTTCTCTTCTTGCTGTTGTTGTTGTTGCTGAGGTATGCGCCGCATAATTTGAATGCAAATTTCTTGCAACATTTTTATTTAACAATCTAGAAATTTCCCATACACAAACATATGGGCGGGCCGATAATCTAGCCGAAAATGTGACACGATTAGATAAAGTGCCAAATAAATGCTCAAAATTGGAGTACAAAATTAGTGAGTGCTACTAAATTTAGTCAATTGCTACGATATGATAGGCTCTCAAGATTACGTCAGCTGTTATACAGAAGTTATTCGGAAATTGGGCTCGAATTCAATGGGAATTTTCCAGAAATTAGAAACGGAAATTTAAATTCAATCTTTGGTTTAAATATAAATATTCTTTATTTTAAGAATATTTTTTTTATATATATTTTATATTTATATATAGTCTTATATAATCCTATAATATCTCAGGCATAGTCCAACAATAGATACATAGATATTTATAAATATTAAATATTTTCAACTTTCTCTGGAATGACTTGAACAATTGGAACCAAGTCCATTTCATATCAATACTCTGTCTATTAGCACTACGCATACCAAATTTTCGGTTTTTCGGAATTTAAGAACTTGAGTTATGAACGGGCCATATAAATTGTCATATCATATCTTGACTTTAACTAACGAAATAACTGTAGAATTTGAAGCATGTGAAGAATTACGACCTGACAAATGCTTACAGACAACTTGATTTAATCTGCCCATATATCATATACTTGATAACTAGTACTGACAAATGCTATGGCATTATATAGTTGATTCTAAAGGCATAATTCAAGTACAACAATCGACAACAGTTTAGCAACAGTTTCTGGTTAATCGCAGGTCTTGAAGTCGAGTTATGAATAGGCTATTCGAACTGTCTCGTCATATCGCGACTCTTACTTGAGGCATTTGCGTTGAATTTGAGGAATTTGTTGACTTATGGCCATATAAACAGCTCCCGACAAGCTTATCTGGCACGCGTGTCAGGAAGTCGGGTTATGAATGAGCTTTACGAATCGTCATACTATATTTTGGGACGAGGTTTGAAGAAAGTGAAGTAACTAGAGAAAGACTGCGAATAGTCTGGGTTAAACTAAGTTGAATAGCAAACAAATGGTGTGACTATGCTAGTCTAACATATAGTATAGTATGATATAATATACCCTATAAATATCAATGGATCTTGAGCTATTTTAAAGGCACATCAATAAGCTATAATCCAGCACAAATTTAATGATAATCGCATGTCAGGAACTCGAGTTATGAATAGACCATTCAAATGGAATTGTCATATCTCGAGTTTTACTTGGAGAATTACTGTGGAATCTAAGGAATATTAAGCCTTATAGTCCCATAAATAGTTGTAGACGAATTTGAAGACAATCGCATGTCAAGAACTCGAGTTATAATGTCATATCTTAACTTTTACTTGGGGCATTACTATAGAATCTGAAGAATGTGATGTCTGAAGACCTTATACACAGTTCTAGACTAAATATCTATAGTCCAGCACAAATTTAATGATAATCGCATGTCGGGAACTCGAGTTATGAATAGGCTATATACAATTTTCAAGTCATATCTGGACTCATGCTTCAGCAATTTCCGTTGTACTCGAGGGAATTTGACAAATGACGCCGAGTCAAGTTCGGGACAACTTTCGCTTGTTAAAAATAAGTTCAAATAATCTTCAAAAGAGATCTATAATTTTTGTTGCTTAGGCTTGCGGTTCGTGGACTTAATAAAATCAATTTGCAGCTTTAATTCATTTATTTTTATTCGATTTTTATAGTTTATAGTTAATTCTTTCTTCTAATTTAATTTAGTTTTTATTTATTTATGGCTGGATTTAAAGTTTCTCAAAAAAAAAAAAAAACGTTCATGTTTATTTTAGTTTTGGGGATTTTGTTTTTATGGTTTTTCGATTTTAGCTGTTAGCATTTTTTGGCTAATTCATTTGTTAATGAGCAAGTTTTTTTTTTTCATTTTCTTCTTAGTTGCGGCTTATTTTACGCTTCTTCTTCTTTTTGAAATTGTTTGCATGTGTTTTTTGTTTTTGGCGAAAATATTTTGTAAATTAGCATTTTTAATGGGCAACAAGACGAGACACAATGTCGCCTGGGCCAAAGCTGAAAATTGAATAGAAATAAAACACGGCTGCTGGGATTTGCATAAAAATCGGGCGAAACCAAAGTCAAGACCGAGTCTTATATATCTGTTGTTGTTGTTGTTGTTGTTGTTGCTGTTGTTGTAATTGCTTAGCATAAAACAACAATTTCTCAAATCGCAGACTTCGCTCACGCATTCCCCGAATCATTAGCGCGAATTTCAAACTTGATAAATGAACGGCGCATATTTGAACAGAGTTCGGTATTTTGTATTTTGTTTTGTTTTTAAGGCTTTGGCCTGGCCCGCACAGATCACAGCTCGTATCGCTGATCACTTTGTTCACCTGTTCCGTTTAATTGGCGGCCCCCCGAGAACCGGTTACGAGTTAGTTTTTGTTATTTAATACCCTGTACATGCTGTAAGGGTATCCCGTCTGGGTGTACGCAACAGGCTGGGCGAAACCTTCCCGAAACCATATATATATGCTCTTGATCTCGCTTAAGACATGCCCATCTGTCTGTCCGTTTGTAAAAACGCGTCTTTCTCGAAAACTAAACTTGTAATGGCAATTGCATATATTTTTCTATAGAATATACCCTATTCTTCTCAATTATTTCCTTCATTTTTATCATAATTCGATTATTATCGAAACTAGAAGAGAAAAAGCTTCGAAATTTCGGATGCACACATAGTTGAGTGTAATTTTGATGTCCTGAGAATTTCATAAAGATCGGACTGTAAACACCAGAGTTACACGAGCAGGTTTACCTACATCAAGTGTCGGGCGAAGGCAAGAAGAAGCACTTCCAGTAAATAGTGTGAAGCACAGGCAAGAAGAAGCACAGCTATTGCTTTGAGTCTTCTTTGAGTCTTCTTTTTGTGCAGCTTCTAGTTTAGCTCGGTGCCCAGGGTGTCTGCTAGTCGTGCACTCCCGACGTGTTTCTCTTTTTTCATTTAGTTTTTGTGACTCAATTGAACGCAACACTCATTTAGTTGTCACTAAGTTAGCCCATTAATTATGAGTAGCCCAGAGCGCTACATTTTGACCCTGGCTTGGTCTTTACCTCCTCTCGGAGGGGCCGAGTGGGGGGGGGGGCTTTGGCCAATTATGTTTGGAGTTTTACAATTTTGTCAGTGAAAGCGACAAAAATGGTCGTTTTTTTACATATGATTTTTGCCCTAATGATCAGTTGAGTGCGGCGTGAATATTCATACTCATGTTCATTCAAGCTGCGGGCACTCAACTCTTAATATAAGCTACTAAATCGCCACGTAATCAATTCCAAAATGACCAATTTTTATTTTATTTTTAATATATTGCGTCGCAAAAGGTTGAAGGTCGTTTTGAGTTGACAGAAACTGAGCATAACTTGACTTCGGTTCAAATTATCAGAATTTATAGAAACTATGATACAATTAAGTAGGAAGGGTTTTTACTTTTTAATATACCCAATAAAATACCCATAAATATACTCAATTTTAAAAAAAGAAAGCGGAGGAAATAAATTTAGGGAGCGCAGTTTCATAGCAAATTCAAAGATCTATTATAAAGCCCCAATCTTGATTCTTAACCTAACTCGATAACTCGATTTTTGATATAGCCATTTTAAGCAAATTTGCAGATCTTTTAGACATACATACACACATGCATGCATACATGTATAAACGCATGCATACATGTATAAATGCATGCATACACACATGCATACATACATGCATACATGTATAAATGTATAAATGCATGCATGCATGTATACATACATACATACATACATACATACATACATATATACACAAATACATGCATAAATGCATGTATGCATACATACATACACACACACATACATACATACATACATACATACATACATACACACATACACACATACATGTGCATGCATGCATACAAACATACATATACATGTACATACCTACATACATGCATG